ACCATATTAACTTCTGTATATTAACACTAAAGGGGATTGACAGTGTCAATTTTGTTATTAAATTCTAGGCCTTCTCAAAGGCGAATCTATAGGCTGTGGCGTCATTTTTGTGATTTCCAAAAGTCGTGTCTCTTTACTTCTAGCCTTAAAATCATGAATATTCAACAAAACTTGGCAGAAAATGTAAATGGGGGTGGGGAGGTTGCTATAAATATACACACAATAACTAGTCTTGCAATTACTAATTTTAGTCTTGATATATTTGACATAAATAACTCTTTGATTATTGTTACTATGTGTCATTTGCATTTTTCGCTAAGATATCAATTTCTCACGTCTTAATCTATGCCAATATGTACTAATATGCACCATTTAACTATAAGAAAGCAAAATCAAAATACCAATTGATATTGCTATAACTTTAAAATAACGCATCGAGACTTTAATTACAGCATTGAGGAAATGCATATTTTGTTAGAAATTTAAACCTTCATGTAATTCACGATTATGAATTAAAACTATTTCTTTATATTTCTACGAATAATTTCTTATGAGAGATGAATTTATATAAGCTACGGCTTAATTGTTTTCAGATCCCATAATTGAATGTTGTATCTCTATGATTTCAAACTATCGATTTATATTTTAATACATAATTTCTTACGGTAGACGGATTTATATATACGGTTGGTTCTCAGATCATATTATTATCTTCTGTGTTATAGCCTATCTATCGAATAAATAGTGCCAAGACAAAAAGTACAAATACTGCACTAATTGTTTTAGTTACGAATCAAGTTTCCATAGTTTGCCTGTATCTCTAAAACTTCTTAAGTGCAATTTAGGGAAGCTATTAGATGATATCTGTATAGTCCGTCAAACTTTTCAAAGTATCATGGTTACAGCTGGTATGTGTAGGGTTGTTTGTTTGTTTTTTATAAACTTAAGATAACGTCGTAAATACATAATTTTGAGATAGATGAAATGTCTTTAAATGAAAATTAAAACTGACAAAACAATTTGTACAATTCGTATAAATTATGAACCTTTTCATGGTAATTCACTGAAATTGAAAATACGAAATGCCACATTGCGTCACATGCATAATGGAACTGATCTGAATTATAAATACAGTGCGGAGATCTGTTCTGAATTGGTTTAGAGTATAATACAATGCAAAGATCAGAGCTGATCTTAATTGATTTAGAGTATAATACAGTACACTACAGAGATCTGATCTGAATTAGTTTCGAGTATAATACAGCGCAAAGCTCTCAGCTGATCTGAATTGATTTAGAGTATTATACAGTGCAGAGATCAGATCGGAATTAGTTTATACTAAAATACAGTGCAAAGATTTGATCTGAATGTTTATGGATTTATTTTTTCAGTAACACGGGTATCAGCGACGTACATTGTGTTATCCAATGTTGATAGCTCACGGAATAGCACCAAATCACCAATACAAACTGAGACATTGAAGAGTTGGGACAGAATAAAGTTGTACATGCCAGAAGAAACAAATGTAAAAAAAGTATCCTCACCAGGTAGTTATCCATTCATGTATCTCTACTGATAGTATATACGTCGAGGTGCATGATTTTAATAAAAGAATGAATGAATGAATGAATGTAATGCATGGGATTTAATGTCCTACGTTTCTGCACAATTCGGGTTAATGAAGACGGGCATACAGTGTGCTATGTGCAGAATGTGCATTGACAGCAATTGGATTCCAGCTGTCAACGGCTCTCCTACGTGAACGACACCGTGTACACGAGCATTGGGTCTCCATCCTACCCGGACAACTAGACGTTCTTTCTTGCCAGACCCCCGTCCTGCACCACGGATATGGGGTGACATGGTTGGAAAATCCCGGAGAACATTTAAACCAACACCCGGATAGGAGCCGGACGGGAAATAAATAAGCACCTCTCCTACCGCCACCCCCACCCTCGCCCCAGTAATGAAAAAAAACTATCCACAATTGCAAATTGTTGGGGAAGGAAAGGAGGGGGTGAGGGCGTATCGTACGGATTCGTCTCTGTTGCCTTAATTGACTAAGATTGACACTGGAGCCCGATTGAGGAAAGGGGTCCTCTCCTGGGCATTTTATATGTATTGTTGATGGAGGTAATGGACACTGTTTGCAAAGCAAGTTGTTTACGATGAAATGTCGTAGTTAAATCATATGATATAACAGGTTTATTTGGCGCTATAATACAAAGAGAAAATAAATTGTAGCCTTTATGTCATTAACAGATGTCGCCAAATAACTGTCTAATTTTTATATTGTCCTATCACTCTCTTTAAGACGATATTATTCAACGTTTTAAACGTCATGGTATCCCTTGAGTCTAATAATTATACAAAAATATGCCTTGTCTTTTAATCTTTGCATACCCAGATAACGCGATGACTAATTTCGTTTTGTTTTAAAACGTGGAGTTCGAATGTCATTTGTGCGTTTAAAATGTGTTGTTTGAATGTTATTTGTGCGTTTACAATGTGAGGTTCGGATATGTCATGGTTTCTCTGTTTGTAAGACATATGTTAAAACATGATTTTTATGAATAGGCCCTGGACGTCTACCCTAAATGATGTTTAGAGATGCAATGCATATTATATGAAGCATTGTTAATTCTGAGAAGACATATATCTGGACAATAAACGTGGATTGAATCGACAGATTAAAAACAAAATCGTGTAGCCTACAATGAGCCAATAGCAAATTTTAAAGCGAACCCAAAGACTTAACTGAATGCAAATCCAATTAGGTCTATCTAATAAAAAAAATATTTGAACATTTTGAAAAGGCAAAGATGGACCACAAAACACGGACTGAACAATGAGACAATGAAAATGAGAAAGAAAAACCGTGAACAATGGTACACCACTAAATCGAAATTTCAAAGTGAAGCCACTAACCTATCCGAATCCAATTTAGTCTCACTAAAAAATTAATAATCTGCTATGCAACTGCTATCTGGAGATAACAATACCAGTGGGGTGTCCATTTATATACGTAATTTGAATTATGTAAAAATATTTGTGACTATTGCCTTCTGTTCAATATAATTAACATAAGATAGAAATTGCGTTTATTTTTAGGGCAAGATCAATAAAAAAATGAAGGACATTTGATTTTTATCAGTTTGGCTTACATATAAAACGAACAAAAAAACCCTACTTATTGTATAACAGAAATTTATGCCCATCCTTATTTAGTAAATATACTGCACGAATATAATTAATAATGACTGACATGCTTAAGTATACTTTTATGTTTCTTAATTTTATGTTGAATGTCAGGTTAGGTCCAAACGACAAGGCGGGCCTAGAAGTAGAATACTACAGTAAATTTTTCATCCCCGATCTCCCAACCATACACGTAATAGAAAATCTTGAATATGCATGAAGTCGCTAAAGGTTGTAAACCACATAAATGCCTCATTATAAAACCTGGACATCAGAGCCAAACGTTGATGGACTTAATGTACGATCATCTGAGATTGTATCCGAATTATATGTGATCTACTCTGACAGTTATTGTAATGCAATAAGAGTTTTAATTGCAGTTTCTATGTTCCAAGGTGTAACAAAATAATTATAGACATTAATTATCCAAAAAGAAGCTAAAGATCATTTTGACGGCGCCATAAAATCAACCCAGAAGCAGAACATAATGTGGATTTATGTTGTTTTTGGAATATTTTTCGTGAAACCTGGAGAAGCTTGGATTCGTCATTGTAAGATTTTTTTTTGTCACAAGTGTTTTATTAAGCATTATTTCATTGCTAATTACTGATGGAGGTGCGTCCACCCTGCTTTCCCTAACTCTAAACACTGAGCCATCATAACCTTCTACTGTGCGGTTTCTTCTATAATTACAAATTACTAGCCAAAACAGTACAAAAAAACATCTTTAGTGATATTCGATATAAAAAATCGATATCATTTTACGGAAATGAAAAATGAAATAAACGGGCCCTACTTAATCACCTACACGAACCGACAAGAGTGTTCTTTTGTCAAAAGCGCCCAAAATATTGCAAAAGGTAACCGACTTAAGGGACAGATATGTTATAGATATGCGTATTCTAGGTATCATATTCAACATTTAGATGATTTCGTAAAAAATTATCGGAAATTACGACGGATATAGATATTTATCTAAAATCATTGAGTCACCTTTAACGGTACGACACGATAGATTGTGACTTCAAAACCAAATAAACCTCAAAAAGAAGATGTTCTAAAACATAACTCTGTCTAAAAATTCTTATAAAATTCACTCGAAGTTGAGCTAATTAATTTTATGACTATGAGAGATTATTCTGAATATATTTAGAATCTGTGTTGGTTTACATCTATTTCAAGAGACAATTTAAGCTAAGAGTTTATTTTCACATTGTTGAATGACACAATGAATAATACGTTTTAGTATTTATTTATGAAAATGTTTGTTGGCCTTCTGACATGTTAAATATTATTCTAAAAACAATGTTACATTAACTATGCATTTGCATATACATAACATGTTTTTATAACTCATATTTAAGTTTGGAAGCGGGGCTTTATGGTTAAAAAATGACAAATCCCAAGAGTATTAATGGCATTTAATGAGGCAAAGACAGAGAAAGAAAATTATGAAGGATTTTCTTAACATATGTAAACACTTCAGAATTATGTATACCAACAAATTGTCATTAGCCGTCGTCCTTTAATGTCCAGTTGTTGGTCAGTTCTTAATATCGTATGACCCCACACTGGACCAACAAAGGTTACCTGTCACCAGATTTGGTTTAGGGATAAATGAGTTGTGGCTAGTAAAACAATGTAATTATTTTTTTGGCGGCAATTAATCATTATGACTGAGACTTTAAATGGAGGACATGCGAACGAGAGGTCAGTCGACTTGTAACTTTCGTGAACATAATTTGGAAATGTTTCCCCTGCACGGAAACTCACGTGGATTATTTCTTTAACCTGTTTGATTACTTTGGACCTTATTAAGTTGTGATTGAATTTTTGTACAGGACAATGTTGAGAGTGAGTGTGTGGTGGGTATTAATATTCACGCTGTTGACGGCGGAAGCAGCAACCTGGCAAGTAGGTCAGCGACCACTGACTTTTGGTAAGCTGGTTCAGATTTCGATAAATTAATGAATTAATCAATAATAATATTTAATCATTTTTTTACGAAATGGATGCAATGGAGTCGAATCGAAAGCATGGCGATATCCCTCATACCGTGTGCCAATGGATTTTAACTGGTCATTTTGGCACTAGCATAACATATTTTTATTTATTATGGCCTTGACTAGTTTTCTGTGGGTGTTATTTTTCTAAAATAATATTTTATGACAGTGGATATATAACATTAAATCATTCACGGTTAATGGATACATTAAATTATTCACGTTTAACCACAGATTATTCCCTGACCCTCGTCAGATTTTTACATCATACTATTATGATATATGTAATAAATTTGGCGTGTGTTATGACACTACGGTCATAAAACAACTAATGTCCGGATACTAAACACGCAATGACTCGACAGCGGAGGTTAGTTAAATAATAAAATGGTAATCAAAGACGAAAATAAATCTGATATTATTTATATATTAATGGATAATTCTGATATGTTATGGTCCATTTGGTAAATTCCAATTTGTCTGAAGTGGTACTGGGCGTACCCGGGTTGGGTGTGCCTGCTTGATAGAGTGAGGGCGTCTATCCTTTTTGGACCAGGAACTGGATCCCAACTGCTACTCATCTTGTTGTTCTAGGGGCGACATGAAACGGGGCAAGCTTGTTCTTTGAACAATTGCGCATTAATTGCCAGGATTCGTTTTTAATATGACGTCACAAATTCAAAATAGCTGGGGTGACGCCACACTCAGTATATGGTACTTGTTACTATTAAATGAATGATTACATATTAACGATAGAGGTTAGTTTTTATTACTACCATCTTCAGTTCACTTAATTGAAAAACATACCTTGCAGTGTTTCAAAACAATTCTGTAGTATTTTTGTATGGCAAATGATATTTTCGGGTTTATGTATTATGGTTTACTCAGATCTAGTATATTTATTATGGATTTCGAATGTTTAATATCAGGTTTAACCGCTTTAAGTATATTGGTATAGTATATGGACGGTTGGTATAAGGTTTATTGGGGGGTGACGGTGGCTAAATGGGTAAGACGCTGGCTCGTTAGCCTGGAGGTCGGGTGTTCGATCCCTGCATTGGCCGAGAAAGTTAATCCAGATTTTCCGGCGTGGTTCCCCCTTGTCAGTGACGCAGGATGGAGGGCCTGACAAGGACAGCTATCTAGTAATTTGGATTGGACGAACAACCGAGGTCCGTGTACACATTGGTGTACCTTGACAGTTGGAATTTGATATAAGAGTAGGCCGTAGCGCCGCTGTCCGGGCAAAATTTCCCTCATAGCACACTGTATGGCGTATGACCGTCTTCATTAGTAAAGTTCGGAGCAGAACAGTAGGACGTTAAACCCCATTTCATTTCATTTTATTAGGTTTATCCACTGTAAGTATATGGTATAGTCAATTTATTATGGATATTGAAGGGTTAATATCAGGTTTATCCGCTTTAAGTATATGGTGCAGTCGATTGATTTGAGATGTTAATATTTAGGTTGAACCGCTTTACGAATACGATATGTTATATTTATGGATATCGAGAGGTTAATATCAGATTGAACCGCTTTACGTGTATGGTATAGTCGATTTATTTCTTTTCAAACGGTTAATATCAGGTTTAACTAGTTGAAGTATGTGGTATATTATATTTATTATGGATTTTGAACGGTTAGTTTCAGGTTTAGGAGCTGTATTATCGATTTTAAGACGTTAATGTTAGGTTTATCCGAATTAAGTATATGGTATATTCGATATATACATAGACAAGACATAGGGAGTCAAAGCTTCATCCTGTATTTTAGAATATGTTTTTGCCAAGAAGTGGTTTAGTGAAAAGTTCGTTCCCCTTTTTAATAAAAACTATAACCTTTGGTAGCTGTTCAGTAGAGACAACATTTATGCGGACACATATGCGTTTCCTTTCTGGGTTGGTGGATAATTTGTGGTTCGATTAGACTGATAATATTATGGTATACATTTTTTGCCTTGGAATGGTGATCTTTACGTTACAGTATGTTTATGCGTATGTTTTTGCAATGTTATAGTGAGAACCATATGCTTATAATGTCTCTAAGGTATAATAGTACACGATTCGAACATTATGGTTTGATCTGTAAAGTGTGATATTATTTATATGAACCGTATGGTTATGTCTGCCTGTTACCGTTACTATAGCACGCATCAAAGGGATATACAAATTCGTTTAACGCCTTTTGCGGTATGACAAAGCTGATCGAAAAACGTTGAAATACAGTGTTGCTAATGTCTTGTCGTGGTTTACATATCTTTTGGTTGTGCTGATCACGAAACCGGATGATCTCAACTTTACATCCTGGGGTAACTCAAGAAATCCAAGATGGCCGACATGAGGCCGGCATTGTCATGCTGAATTGTCGCATGCGTGATCTCGATCATTGGTTGTAATACAATTTATATCTCGAGAACCTGATATAAGCCTGTGTTATAGATGATATTAGTGGAATTGTTTATTGGAGACATTCAATTATCGAATGCGATACAAGATCCGGTTCTCGTTTACATTTTACATAGTCGAAATATCGTTTAATGCTTGTTAACGAGATACAACACAGCACTATCGATATATTGTATATATTCATTATTTTTTTTCATTTTGTGACACTGATACAATATCTTATTCACAAGAGATGCTGTAATATTCTATTTACCATTGCAGCCTGGCCAAGCTCACTCAAATATGGATCCTTTTTCTGTTTTCTGGTGCTCGGCCATCTAGCACACGCACGGAAACTGACTTATGAATTGCTTCAACAACGAGTTAAAACAAATTTGTCTGGTCCCAATTCATAAGTCATGTCTATCTTGAAGTCTATGATTGTGACAACTAGAAAGTTGTTCTCGGTCTGCTGGTGTAGACATCTTATCGTATTTAATCGTGAATACTTATCCTCAAACCTGCTGGATTGTTGTTTGCGGGGCGGAGGGAGGGGGGGGGGGGCGTTCTTTGTTACCAAGTTCATTTGGTTTTTAATACTTAGATAGCTTTCTTTAAAGAGCTTAAGAAAGCTCATATTGTTTCCCAATGTCATGATTGATTGTAATCGTCGAAATAAATTCAATGCACGATCAGTTTGGTGTCATAGACCTTCGGTCGGTCATTTGAGCCGTACTAGATCTAGATGAAGATTTCTAAGAGTCTTCAACATATATTAAATCGGTTTCCACCCTTAAAATGCATTATGTAAGAGCTAGATCTATCTTTATTTTGGTCAACTCTTTAGACCATTCGATGACAGAGATTTAAATGAATTAGAATGCCCGCTAGATTAAAAAAATAACGATAAAATGAATAGTTGAGACCAAGTCGTAGTTGTACAGTGCTGTTGCTACGACAATAAACAACCTAAGCTGCATCTTCCAACACCCATAACTTCACTCAGAATAGAGTCATTTGAATGAACTTTGCAATATATTTAACGGCCAGCTCTTTCTCTAATCTTCCAAAATGCATCTTTAAGTAAATGTGCACTTTTAATGATTAATGACAAATGTTGTTGGGTATGGGTGAAAAAGTAGCTTTGTGGATAAAACTAATGATTCAAATGATGATACAAGATAGTGACAACGAATCGGTAACAGATTAACCTACCAAATTTGGGTTGATGTTCTTCCGGTTCGCCATTATTGCTAACGAACGAAGTGCGGATTTATTACCTCTTCACCAAGATATTTTAATATTAAATATTTCTAACTTGATTGCGGGTATATCCTGAAAACGAGTCAAATTAACAATTTCGATAAACAGGTTGGCAAAGATCAACCAAACGTAGGTCGAAAGGTTTGGTATTCCTGTCCCATGACCGATTGAGTTCACATCATCAGACCAAATTCCTTGTTTACCTCTACATAGAATGATAGTCCCTAAACAGGTTAAAGATATACTCCCTTGTGGATAGTTAGGTCTTCTTTTCCATTCCTAAAACTTAGTTCATAAAAACACGGCTGTAACTTTTAGTATAAAAACCATAGATGGCCTAGAAAAATGTACAAAATGTACGTGGTTGTTGATACTGCAACATAATTATTTATGTCACACATCTTAAAGCAATATAACATTTTTTGTAGGGAAAGCGGTTATATACAATTATGCAGTTCAGCGAGCTTTTTGTTCTTTCCGACAAACGACAAACTAGCGTTATCAAAGGAAAGATATTTTTCTCTCTGTCACCACTCTATTTCTTATTTTAAACATATCGTTTCAGCTGCATCAAGATCACAGTCAACGGCTGTTTCGTTACAAAATGCGGGCTCAAGCGGAAATGGAAACTCACATATCCCCACTCCTAAGCGTCGACCAAACCCCTTTCTACAACGGCTACCCTCAGCGGCGGAAGAAATCAAACCAAAGGCTACCTTCCCATCAGAACCGATGTTCCCAGCCCAGCATCAGCAAGCCGCCACGGATACATTTCAAGGAACTAACACTGCTCCTTATAGTATTCAACACACACATGCAGGAACCGTACACGAGTCCCCTAATTCGGCTTACAGTCCCCTTCGAACACAGGGGCACAGACCACCAACTCAAGCCGGTCCAGTAAACCAGAATGGAATGTCACAACTCAGTGGTCCTGCACTAGCACAAGCAATATCAAAAACTATGCCAGCAATGCAAAGTCGACAACCAGGTGGCCAAGCATCGATAACATATCAGAATCAGAATCAAAATCAACAACCAATGAGTGGCAGTTCGATATTTTCATCACTCCAGCCGGGACAACTCGACCATTTGAGACAACAACCTGGACAATCCCAAGTTCATGTGCAACAGGTGCGACCAGTGAATGTCCCAGATTACCATCCTCAACAACATTATCCCCAGCAGACCCACACTCATAACCAGCCTCATCACCACCCCCATTTTACAACATCTGCTCACCAACAACCATATCTATATGACCAACCTTTACACAGTTCCAACAGATATGCGCCTATGACGTTAAATTCGCCAGCAGGTCACGTTCAAAGTCCGAATTACAATGATCCTAATTCCAAACTAGCCGATCCTTACGCCGCTCCAGATGTTGGATATGGAGCATATCCCAGTGAACAACCACCCGTGGTTAAGTCTTATCAACAGCCATATCAGGCGCAGCAAGCTCCAGCTGCATTTCAGCAACAGCCCCCTTATCAACCACCGGTGGGCCAACCTGCAACAGGTCATCATCATCCACCTGCAGATCAGCCACCTTATCAGCCGCCAGCCGGTCAACCACCAGTAGGTCAACCACATTATCAGCCACCTGCAAGCCAACCACAGTTTCAGCAACCTGCAGGTCAACCACAGTATCAGCCACCTGCAGGTCAACCACAGTATCAACCACCCGCAGGTCAACCACAGTATCAGCCACCGGTAGGTCAACCACAGTATCAGCCACCGGCAGGTCAACCACCTTATCAACAACCGCCTGTAGCTCAACCACCATATCAACAGCCAATGCGTCAACCTCAGTATCAGGCACCAGCTAGTCAAACACATTATCAAGACTATTACCAACAGCCACCACACCACCACCAACCACACGCCCAACACACCTTAGATCCTAATGCGGCTGCTCCTCCTCCAAATTACCCCTCCCCAACTCAGGCATACCCGGGTCAATACCCACCGTTGAATCAACAGCCTTACATTTCGCCAGAAGCAAATGGACCAATACCAAGAATGCCAACCGGTTATCAGTCACAACACAAACAGAATCACTACCAGATGACTACTCCTTCACCAGGCAAGTATCTAAATATGTTAACTGGGGGTCGGTTTGGATATGATTTATCTATCTTAGATTTTATTTGAAAAACACATGTCTATATGTCCATCTGCCGAACTATTAAAATATTATAAGGTAGTAGGTCCACATAGATACACCATGATATCAATTACGTATTTAGAAAGAGGCGCCAAAACTTTAAAATAGTTTTAAAATTGATCATATACAAAAAGGGAGCATGAAACTGATGACGCCATTTTCATATGTAAATGTTTGTTTCTTAATTGTTATATCATTCGTTTGGTCGTGAGAGATCTAACATGTTTTGCGTATGACATCATTATCGATTGTAGCCACATCACTGCACCTTGGAAAAACAACAAAGCATATTTGTCTTTCATTTTCATCATTCATGTTCTATTTGGACCTATTGCTTTTATCATAGCTTTTACATTTGCGAGGATATAATGTATATTAAACTATTCAGTCTTTTCATTAAATGTCATAATTTAAAGCGATGGCTTTCTAAATTTTCAGTAGGACGTTAAATCCCAGTTCATTTTCATTTTTTAATTTTGGAATAATGGTATGACAGGAAACTTTAAGAAAATTAATTGATGTATATGAATCTGCTTTGTAGTTTTTGGGTAGCTTTGAATGAATGAATGTATTTTGCGTTTTAACATTAGGCACGACTAAACTAAATTACAAGAATAGCCCGGTGTGGCGACTTGACTCGGTAATCGGTTTAGATAGTTACTTTATTTATGTTTTATTACAAACAAATGTAGAGTCTTGCGCCATTACAAAATGGCTGACCTGTGAGTCGGTATCAATGATGCGTTCCTGTTGTGTTCTGATTTGTTTTGAATGTTATTGTTGAAATAGTATATTAATGCTTTTTCTTATAATTTATGTTATATAAATATAGTACATATGTTGCTGTTCAGGTTACATTGCGATTCCATAAAAAAATGGTCCAATCTCTTTTAGGTGATAAAATCATTAGAATAATACTTTTTGTAGCGGTAATCTGGTTTCTAAAGACCCATCGTTAAATTTGAATCTTATTTATCTGCAAATCAAACTGTTCTGTCCAAAATAGCGCATGCATATATTTGAATTTGTGTTTACGCGTCACTAAAATTAATCATCTCAGTATGCTTGGACTTAGACGACGATTGTATAATTATATTTACTAGTTTTATTAGGTAATTATATTAGAAGCTAGTAGTAGGCTCAGCAATTAAAGGTGCATTATGTAAGATTTAGATGAAGAGCTGGCTGTTTTGCTATAAAAGTTCATTGTAAATGTAAAATATACTAGATAATGTAAAATGAATATGTTGAAAATTTAAATCAAATTAATTTATTCTTGGCGAAGTTATCACTGTTAGATGTTTTGAAAACTTGTGGCAAAGATTGTTTATTAACGTAGCAACGGTTCGCCATTTTTAAATTAAATCATTAAATGGCTATCGTGTATAAATCCGTTTAAATCTTCCCTATTCGATGCTCTAGAGAGTTGATTGTAGGCTTATCTAAATAATGGTTTATACAGCATTTAAAGCCAAAATAAAGACCGGCAATAGGCCGATTTAACTCTTATATAATGCATCATTAATGGTTAATGGAATCGTGATGTAAACTGAATGTAGTGCTATTAATCACCCGTGTGTATATATATATGCAAATACTTAACATTTCATAGTCTCAATAAACTCCCTTATAAGGTGTTATTTACTTATTATATATATTTCTAACATAGAATATGACCTACCCAATCCCCACCCAACATCACCTATAGAGTATTATTTACTTGGTATATTATAGAGATTGCTAACATATGGGCTACCTCTGTCTTACCCCACTCCTACCCAAACCAAGTAAAGGAATTTAACAAGCTAAAGATACAATTGGAAGTGGGAAGTGGCCATTTGTCATACCTAATAAAAAAAGGAATTATCCCTTTCATAACATAGGCTAATTCCTGCACAGGTATCCCATTAATTTAGTAATTGAACTGGTCACAATTATATAGAATAGATTACTGCTTATTATTGAGTGACGTTTCGGCTAAGCTTCTCTCGTCTAGTAATAAGCAGTAATTGTATTCCATAGAATTGTGACCTGTGTAATGATGTGGTGTTGTGATGTAGTAACAAATAATTATTTCAACAATGGCTTCTTCACTGTTCCCAAAGTTGTTCGTCTTCTATGTGCTTATGATATTAACTTCTTTGTCATTCGTTTCAAATTGGAAAATTATTTCGTATCCCGCTAAAATAGCTTGACCGTCATACATCATGATGTGGATGCCAGAAATGTTTTTCAGTAATTGGGGAGGGGGTAGTGATTGTGAGAGACAGTGTGTCTTAAATGTGTGTCTGTAAACTCACCGTAGAAAATGGCGTCATCATTTCATCAAAGATATTTTTTGAGGATCACAATATGAACATGCTTTAACATTAATTTAGCTCCCACACAGGTACATGAATATTCATTCATTATTTTTATTATTCTAATCGTTATATTTTTAGATATTTATATTTTCCTTGTTTCATCGAATAAGCGCCTTGGGACGCAATCGTCATTCGAATAAGCACACTGTTTGTGGGTACTGTGGAGCAATGTTACGCGCTTCTTTTGTAAAGGATGCTGGCAACAATGTTGAATGACATGGTGTTAAGGGGAGATTACAGAGCATGGATAACGCCCAATATCATTGTTGAAAATTGCCAATTTTTTCCAATTTATCAAATAGCATTTATTCGATCTAGCATGGTAGCTACTGTTGTGTCGTATATTGCTTTTTCTGGACCTAGACTGTTTTAGTCGGACCCGATAAAGAATAATGGTAGTCTGAATATAAATATACCTAATGGCTAGATATATAGAGGATATTTGTCGTTTTAGAGTGAATAACATATTTTATTTCATCGAGAAGCAAGAAAACTTATATTTTCACGAATGCGTAGCATGAGTGAAAATATAAACGTTTTCTTGCTTCGAGATGAAATAAAATATGTTATTCACGACAAAAAGACAAATGTTCTATTTATTTTATGATTTTACAATCATTTTAGGTAAAAACAACATGGACTACTGCTAGCCAGTGGAATAACACTTTTATTTCACTGATAAAACGTGGAATTACACTACTGATCATAAAATAAAATTATTTACTATTTAAATGCTATTTGATAAGTCTCATCGTTGTTGATGCATTAATTACATGTTCGTTCATTATCACGATGTGATTTAACGTATATAGCTATGTGGAACCAACCACCTCCGGCTTATGATTATGGACCACTACCGCCAGGAGCGCCACCTATGTACGATTACCCTCCACCACCACCACCACCTGGACAAATGTATGATCCTCTATACCACAACCAAGCCTATGATCCAATGGGCTTCCCTATGTATCCGCCGCAGTTCCTGAATGTAACAACTCCTGCGCCCACAACAACTCCAGCACCAACCCCTGCAGGAGAGGTTGAGATTGAAGGACCCATTACAACTCCGCCTCCAGTAACAACTACCACCACTTCGGCACCAGTGTATAACATGAGTAATACGTACATCCATACACAGGGACAACATTCGACTCTTCATCATGGTGGTGCACGTTATCCATTAGCACAGCCCGGTTCTGGTAAGAGTACACACCACGTACACCAATGCATGGTAGCTAGCTGACCTGGGGTTATGGACCGCACTAATGCACTTTCTTCCTTTTAGTTCTAGTTATTGTTGTGTCGTATTTTTCTGTTTGTGTCTTTGTCATGTCTAATTCAGTCCTAATTTATGCTAATCCCGGGATGTTACTTTGCTCTATTTATAGATGCGAGAATTTGGGAATGTTACAATATCGGGGGTATTTTGGTGAATATAAAAAAAATTTAGCATTCTTTTTTGTTCATCTAAGAAGAGAGTATATTGACCGGGATGACCGTTTATCTTATCGGCTATGACTAAATTGATCCTTCGTTAAAAGGGGAAACCAACAAATACAATAACCGTCATCGGGATAGGCTAAAGCGTCAAATCTTTCCCACATATTAAAATCGAAGCTCTAATTCCAATATTTAAATAGTTCAGACTTAATAAGATATGTACATGTTTGCAAAGCGTGTTTAACTATTAACAAATATTCGTGATTCTCTGCACTCTTTGATTTTTTTTGTGAGGTGACAACCTGGCCACGTTCAAAAGTGTATGTTCACTGTTGACTCAATTACTGATCCTGTTCCACTCAATTCACGCTTCTTTTTTTTTTGGGGGGGGGGGGACCTAAATCAAAGGAATCTATTTAACGTCTTTAAGCTATTCTTCAGACTCATCTGAGTGAATGCTACATTTTCTTCTTAGTATGCGTGTATATTAAGGTGTAATTTGTGCCTAAATCATTAGGTTCATTATATTTATTACAATAGTCTTAGTATTTCAGCATGCCTTTTAATTCAACACTTTATTTTTACCTAGCTCCTTTTAAGCTATTATTCAGACTAATCTGAAACATTACATTTCTTAATTTGCATGTTTAGTTATGTGTTGTTTACCAAGTAGTTTAATTGCATCTGTAATAGTCGTTTTAGTATTTCAGTATGCCAACGAATATAACTACAGAAGAGGGGTGGGTGGGGGCTTTTTGTTTATCTAGCCACAAATTTAGCCTTTCATATGAAGTTACACATTGCGTTTTATGATAATACTGATACTTTAACACTTTAGTACTTAAGATCTTATTTCCTTCTGTATTTAGGACCCACAACTCCTCCGCCTACTACTACACCCGCAGGAGAGATTGAATATGAAGCAGAGGGGGGTACAACCCCACCTCCGACAACTGTTGCGCCTCTCATATATGACTTACCGGCAAATTATGCTTATGGTGGTCAGTCTTTCCAAAAACCTGCTCCGCCCAGACGGATGTATCTCACACAAGAAAATTATGCCAGATACATGCAAGAACAAGCTGCTGCGAGTGCGAAAAAGCGCCAAATGGAATTGCAGCGGCAAAGGGAATTGGAAATGCAAAGACAGCAAGTCCCGCGTAAGCTCTAATCATGTTCGCATGCTGCTCCATTAACCTTTTATATAAGTATGTTATAATGCCTGCTTTTCCTATAGAGCATGATATATGCATGTCTCATTATAAACGTATGATCGGTTGTATGAGCTATTGGATACCTACATATACATGAATACGCAAAGGGCTATCTTTTAATTTATTATACGTATTATTATAATAAAGATGACCGTTATATTCTTTATCCTTGGAGAGTAAACCAATCATTGGTATCATAATGAGCGTTAAGGTGACAGCATAATGTGCTACGCGATATCAAGACTATACAATTACTTTGGTCTCTTGGTTAGTGTGGTATATGTATGTTATTTTACAGAAATATACGGTTAAGGGTCTGATTTTACCATTACTTGAAAAATATATTTCAACGAATGCGTCGCATATTTTACATTTTTTTCAGGGTATAGAAAAACCCCCAAAAAACTTTAATTTATTTCAGAAATTTTAAAGATTTGCTGTTATGTTTTTCTTATTCATATACATGTATTAATGTATTAAGCTATTTCATGCACCAGCATCTGGCTGGTTAACGCAATAGACTCAGCAGTATTTTACGGATTGTTTTCCAAATTCGGTGGAGGGGGGTTGGATGGCTGAATGGTTAGCGTGCGCGCGCTGTATCATAAAGTCTGTCATTGAGTCTACTGGTGTGGTTTCGAATCCCCGGTTGTACGTGACAAGGAGTAGGGTCGCCTGTCCAACCTCGTGGGTTTTCTCCGGGTCCTCCGGTTTCCTCCCACTGCTAAAGACCCCTATGCGCAAGCGAATTATTGAAATAAAATTAAACCATATGTTAGTCCCGGAATGACCTAGTTGTGTCGAGTGGACGTTAAACGCCATTTCTCTCTCTCTCGCTCTCTCTCTCTCTCTCTCTCCAAATTCGGTGTGAAGCTCTGAGCACCTGCCATATTGATCCGCAACCTTCCGGAGCGCCCCCATCTCCCCTCCTCACGCATCCTTTTTCATTAGCCTTGTGAACGCAATTGATGTTAATAGATTTTGTTCAGATTCCGTGTGAAGCAGGTTGGTTCCCTTTACCGCAAACCTTGTGAACTCGATAGAGCCGATTTCTGATTTAAATTTAGCATTGGAGTCATGAGAGTATGAACTATGAATCCTATCGATGTTTCCCGTCTTCAGTTACACCTCTTCTCGAAAACATTGTATGTGCGTTAGAGACATGGGGTTGTTAACAGATTGACATTTTTTCATTTAATGTTTATTTAATGGTGGTTTTTATTCTAGATTAGGTTATGTACATGTTTAAAGACGCAATGCCACTGAAGACGTATACATTATTTCATATTTAAATTTAACAAAAATAAGGGAAATTGAAAGGAACAGTTTTTTTTAATAGTAATTTAAACGACAAAAATAAACACATAGGTTAGAAACCACCTTGGCCTCCGACGTTAATAGATGGATAAGTTAGATCGTTCAGATGTCGGCAGACGATTACTGATTAGAAATACAGATCGCGGCATGAAATAAATAGCAAGCAGTGCGAAATTTGCATTGCCGTAACCTACCTTTGGATTACATGGTTTAAATCATTTGTAGGCGAATGTCGGTAGGCCACATCAATTGGGTTTTCTGTTCTTCTTATCTCTTCGGGAAAGAAACTGATTTAAAAACCAAAAGCACTTGGTTGCACTAGTTCAAAATATTCTTTTCCCAAATTTTTGTAAGTTTAAACTAAAAATCGTTCGTGTTATTCAAGTGGTTGTTTATTTATTAACGTCGAATAGCAGAAAATCAAATTGATTTTGCCAATCTTGTTTTTTGCTGTCTTAAATTGTACAGATGTCAAAAATTGGAAATTTCGTATTTGCATGTACGTTTGAGATTCTGATATTAAACCAAACAATCTATGTTTCCGATTATAAAGTATTACTTTGTTTTAAAGTGTACCCTTTGGTTTTTTGAAAAATATTGTAGTTGGTGCCGCATAGAAATGCTTGGTTATCATATATTTATGAGTATAATGTCTTGGTATTATTGTTAATTCGTATTATTGTTAATTCGAATGTTTACTTTATCATATTCTTATATACCATTTGAGTTTATTTCGCTGAAAATCTTCAGGTATATTATATGCAATGAGTGTTGTATTTTACAGATCTTTTTATGTTAGTTTTTATGTTTTCGTGTATGATATACCTGCTTTAGCTTTAATCGTTTTCTCGGCGTGTTTACTGATTTGCATGTGTATATTAACTCGTTGACTTACTAACTATTGATTACAAATAAATAATATATACATGTAATTGTATTAATAACCCCAATATATGTAAAAATAAATATATGAACAAAAAAATAAATATATGTATTTATAAACATAATGTAAATCATTATTGTATTAGACAGTTCAAATTCTCATAGAATCAACCATAATAAGATATAGTTTATTCACACGTTATTAAATTTTAATTTCCTAGTTAATGTTCTGATTGACTTTGTACTTTCAAAAGTTTTCATTCATATTTTGTAGGATATCCCCAACAGTATGCTTATGGTCATTACGGGCCTCAATATCAGCAACAGAAACCAGCTAACAATTGGCTTCCTGCCCAGCAGCAACCAGGTGCTTATCCTCAACAGCCAGGTGCTTACCAACAACAACCCGCCAATTATCAACAACAACCCGCGATGTATGCTCAACAACAGGGTTATGCCTCCCAACAACAACCCACTCCTTACGCGTCCCAGCCCACTGCGTACGGTCAACCACAAACGTATGCTCCTCAGCAACCCCCTGCATATGGTGTTCAACAGGAGGCCTCTGTGTACCCAACCGCCTACCCACAACAACAGCAGGCTTCTTATCAACAACAACAGCCTGCTTATCAACCTCAGCAACCGGCCTATCAACAACCGAATGCTTATCCACAACAACAAGCAGGTGCCACTCAGTATCACCAGCAGCATCAGCAACAACAGCACCAGCAGTATAACTATCCCATGCAACAACCTAGTAATTACCCAATGCCGCAACAACAGCCTTCGCAGCAATCGCAATACCCACAACCAAACCATACGCCTACTAGCCAGCAGACTGGACAAAACAATTACGCTGCAGGGCCCCAAACGCAACAAAATCCACTTGATTCAGAACGGCTGCAGCTTCAAAAGCTTCTTTTCCAGATTCAGCAAGCTAAATCCAAAACGCAATCTGCAAAATTACCAGTAGCACAACGGGAGCAATGGGAGGCGATATTTAAAAAACTTTATCAAATTTATCAACAGTACAAAGCGCAACAGAAAGCCCAATCCAGAACATCGGGTACTTAATATTTTTTTGCTATTAAACATTACGTATTTATTCTGGTGACAAGAAAACTAGCTATATTCTTTAGAGTGGGAGGACACGCGATTTCCAGTTTAAAAGTGCACGTAAATGATCCCTTGGGTTGGAAGTCGAAGAAGATTTCGCCTAAACGTCGCTATCAGGGCAAATGTTTCCCCTCGCATTGCTGACAGGATATTAAACCCAATCTATATAGTAACAAATACTTGCAATTATCGGCACAAATCAACATCCAGTAGATGCTGTTTATCGAAACAATCATTAAATATCGTATGCTTGAAGACAGATTTCCACCCCTACCCCATTTGTTTTACAAAGAAATGCTTCATTGTAATTTTCATTGTACCATGCCACAGTCACTTTGCAATTAAATATAAACAAAATGTGTGAGGGATAAACTGCAAATATTATGTTTGATTGTTATCAACAAAACTTATTTGAATTTAAATTTGAATTAATTACGTCTTGGAAAGACGTATATTGGAAAGACGTATATTAGAAAGACGTATATTATAGTAAGGAAAGCTGTGTAGCCCGAAAATGAATTGGGTTTTTTTATTGCTCGATTAAGATCCGCCCATCCCTTAGAATAATTATCTTTTCGGAGAATCAAACCTGATGCAGTCCGAATGGGTGTGATCGTAGCTAACATTTTGTGGCCATCTACTATATTAAATCACAAAGCTTTGAAAAACAAAATCCCACAGCTACATCCCCTAATGAATTTATGGGAAATTAAAACGCTAATATGTTATGTCTTTGGTACAAACTTTTGTATTCATTTATTAAACACGCATCACCGATGTTCTTTGTACTGAAATGACCATTTATTGTGGCTATTTGTTTTTATAGGTTAAGCGGGCAATACTATTAATCCAGAGACGGCGTCAAGATTTCGAGATGTTTCATTAATCATTATGTCCAAAGAGATATGTTATTATGACAAGCTGTCCACATGACAGGCTGCTTAAGACATAATAGTCATGAGCTGTATATTACTGTCAAAATGTTATGGACACAGTGAGAATGGTTATGTTTCCTGTTGACGTATAACAAGATTCTTGAGTATTTTTAGAGACATTTTTATATATTTTTATGGAGAAAAGTGAAATATTTTCTAAAAAGAGGGAAGGGGGATTTGTCGTTCTTTGAATTACGTAAGGGCTGAACCGAATTTACACTCTGTAACCAGCTTTTAATTTGAAAGATATTAGAAATCATACAGATTTGATGACTTGGGAATGGATCGTTCAGTTGGCCATCAAAGTTAGAACAAACTGTCCATTTTTGCCTTTATACTATGAATTGGGGACCCTAAACAGAAAGATGTTCTTTCTCTTTGATTTCGCCCTTTTCTTTAATTTATTTCTTTGCAGTATTGTTAGTTTACAATGGACGTTCACAAGGTGAATAATTTTAGCAATAGTGCTTTAAAATAACAGTCTCGTAAATTAAAAAAAGAAATACATTACATAGGTTGTTTTTTTTTAAAAATGTGAACCTTGGTCATCTGAAGTTCCAAAACTGCATACTCGGATTATCTACTTGGATTTACATACGACCATAGACTGCCACTTAAAAGGAACAATTATAAAGAAAGTGTGTTTTAGAATGGTACTGATATTTTTATATGGATATTGTATTACTTATTTATATAGATATATTATAATGCTGGTCTAGGGGGGTGGGGTCTATTAAAGATGGCGAATACAATGACAGTATGTAATAAAAGCGAGAAATTTAATTGTACATAATTAATTATTGAAATAAATGGTTGTTGTAAATATGATATATTTACATTTTTGTCTCATTGTTTCGCTCTAAAATGTGTGGATTTTACTAAACGTGTTATGGGGTTTAACATCCCACTGTTCTGCTCCAACTGGGCTAATAAAGACAGTGCGCTATGACAGCGGCACTACGGCCTGTTCTTATTTCGAATTTCATCTGTCAAGGGATCTTTAACGTATATGCCAATGTGTACACGGAACCTCGGTTTTTCGTTCCATCTAAACTTTCTCAGCCAACACCGGGATCGTACACTGGGCGTCCTGGTTAACGAGCCGATGTCTTACTCGCTGAGCCACCGCTGCTCCCAAATATGTTAAATAACATAGGCTATTAAATTTGTCTTTTATCAGAATCCTAGCATGGTCATAAATATATATTATATAAACAAACGCGGAATCTTCCATTTTAAAGATGCCTTACCATGTACAAATTGGTTGAAATATTTGGACTAAAACATATTCAAAATGTAATTTATAATTATATCAAAAGTTTGATTCAGGTCCCTCTCAAAATATTTTAATAGCAAGGAACTATCACAAGCTGTTGAAATCTATTTTAGCCAGGCTTGTTTGCCATACGACTTGTTTGAGGAAGATTCCATTTTCAACGTGTATTTGTCGTTAATCGCTGCCCATTTACCATAAAAGCAGTCTGTTGCACGCATAAGTCGTCCACTGTTCTCAGAACAGCTAGACATTCCATCTTTAAACTGTTTCAATGACATTTAGTAATTGAACTGGAGTATACAGGTCACAATTCTATGGAATACAATTACTGCTTATTACGGAGTCGAAACGTCGCTCAGTAAAAAGCAGTAATTGTATTCCATAGAATTGTGACCTGTGTATTCCATTTCTAGTTGATGATACCGATATACACGGTGTTACATTTTTGTAATTCATGACTTTTAAACAGCCAGGGTATTATATATCTTGATGTGTACCAATCGATTATGTGAGGAAGACACAGACGAGATAAAGGGGGATAACTCTTTGAAACGCCTTGGAAGTTCTACATTCAGGCGAGTATTCTTCTACCCACTGGTTTCATTGTAAGGCGCATGCCATAGTTTGGCCTATGTGACTTTTTTTTTTAGCATTCCTATGTTCTTAATCTGTACAAGACGAAGATCCAAACACGTGGCAATCATCAGATAAAAATATTGAAGGGAGTGACTACCACGATATATTGCTAAACCCCGTTACAGCGTCGTTTTTGTACGCAATTTCCCTAATTTCTGTCTGTGTATTTTCTGGTCCTTCCACCCCAAAATCATGACCATGGGTCGGATTAAAGGAGGTGGGGCTCACTAGGCTGCAGACAAGGGCCCCAATATTTAAAGCCCCCTCCCCCCAATATGTCATTTATTATAATTGTATAATATGTATGTACCAAATAAATCTATCTATATAGGCCTACCATGCTGACAAACAAATTGTCGTTTCACTGCTGATGTATTTGTAGGCAGGCTTAATCCAGACTAAGCACCAAAACCTGGCAGAATTGTAATTCTAGGCAGAAATGCCCCCCCCCCCCCGACCTCCACAAAAAGCCATGTAAAGGGGAATAACTGCCAGTTTACTGCCAACCAATTTATGCAAGAGCTAAATTTGCCTATTGCAGGTCTTTCTTTAGGCCTGAAATGTTTTCTAAATTATTAATTAGACATTAATTAACTTATCCAGGCGATAATCAGCTCTCGATGGCATCTGATTTCTCCGATATTAAATAGATTAGAATAGTTCTGCAATATTTCGATTTAAGCTAAAAATGGAGGAGCGAGACTTAGCTTCGAACAACCAGTGCGGTGGTTGAAATTACTGCCCACGTCTTGTCAAACCTTCAAAGCTAATATTATCTTCGATGGCAATAGAGTAATTTGAATTTTCAAATTATTCTTTTTACATTATCTTTTTTGAAACTGTTATAGCAAGAATGGATAGCTCTTTATCTAAATCTTACATAATGAATGGTGTCACTTTATCTGTTAGTCCTATTCTGCCGAAATCACACAAAGTACATGTATTGCCAAAATTCCAACAATAATATCATGATACTGATCCAAATAATGTCAAAATAATCAAGCTATTTGCTTAGCTTTCACGTGTCTAAAATAAAATGAATGGTTTTAAGGTCCTACTGCACCAAATAAATTGAGTTAAATTAATGGCCTAAATATGACACAGATTTGATGTTCTCGTTTATTATAAGAGAACGCGCTTCTGCATACAGGTTACACGTCTAGTGTCAGATATTTATACATTTCAAGGATATTGCTTTCAACAGTGTCAATTGATCAGGGAGAAGCGGCGGCTCAATGATGAAGACGCTGGCTCGCGATAGCCTGTGCATTTAGGCCTGGGGTTCACTCCCGGTGTTGTTAGTGGTGCAGTACCGGTATCTAATCATTCGGATAATACGAAAAGAACCCTTAATAGTTTCAATTCGATATAAGAGTGGGCCGTAATGCCGCTGTCCGGGCAAAATATACCCTCATAGCACTCTGCATGACGTATGCCCGTAGCCATGTTGGGGCAAAACAATTGGACGTTAAACTCCATTTCATTTCATTTCATTTCTAGTTGATCGGGGAATCACGGTGGCTAAGTAGCTAAGACGCTGGCTCGCTAGCCTGGAGGTCGGTGTTCGATCCCTGCATTGGCCGAGAAAGTTCATCCAGATTTTCCGGCGTGGTTCTCCCTTGTCAGTGATGCAGGACGGAGGGGCTGACAAGGAAAGCTGTGTAGTCGTTCGGATGGGCGTGCACGTAAAAGATCCCTTGACAGTTGGAATTCGATATAAGAGTAGGCCGTAGTGCCGCTGTCCGGGCAAAATTTCCCTCATAGCACACTGTATGGCATATGCCCGTCTTCATTAGCCCAGTTCGGAGCAAAACAGTAGGACGTTAAACCCCATTTCATTTCATTTCTTCTAGTTGGGTCTTGCCGAGTTAAACAATATAATATACTGTGCAACATAATAAGCAATGGATTTAAAGTAGCTAAGTCTCTAACTCAGTATCATCCAAAGTTTTCGACAACGAAAACACGAATTATTTGTCAATTTAAATCAACATTGGTGTTGTTATCGTATCTTGAAAAGGTGGGCTTCTGATATCCAATATTAAGATAACATAAACATTTTACCATTGGTACACGAATCGTGTACCAAAATGGGTTTCAGTGCCATTGTAATAGGGGACTCGAAGAATGAGAAAAGACATATTCCACAAGTCATGTCAATCGGTGAAGCCATATTCTTTTCTGGCGACCACGCGCAAAAAATACTATCGGTGTAGACTGGAATAACCAGGCGCTAGAGATAGCCATTCGATTGACACTTCTGGCGTAATTCGCCGAACATAACTGATTTGAAATTAGAGTAAAAAACGGAAACGATTGAATGTAAATCAGGTTATATACATTCATATTACATTATTATATGTGTTGCGACCCATTTGTGTCAATTTCTAGGTTCCAAATATTAGCGATTCAGCTCCTTTAATCCTACGATGCAATTCATCAACATATTTCTTACATGGATAACTCACATCATAGAACTAGTTTTATTTGATATAAAGAGGTTAATAAGAAATTGTATTGTGTTTCTAGAGAGAGGAAACGACATAACAAGCCATTAATTAACCAATTTTATACGCCGGTGATCAATCAATGTGCGTTTAATGCCCACTTTCTCAGTTTTTCCATCTACACGGAATTTAATTGAGTGTGTTGTTTCTGTGCGTATCGGCAACGAGCTCACCTATTTATATGCATATTAGTAAATATGAGTAACCAATACATAATGATAATAATAAAAATAATAAGAATGATTTGAAAAATATATTGAAAGAAAAAAAATCAACTGTACAGTTGTATTTCTTCATTGTGCTAGCATATGCTTCAATCTATAACATAACTTTAAAGGTGGCTTTTTTTGTTTGTAAACTGGACTATAAATATAGAACACCGTTCATCGGCCCAATCACTGTTCGCCGCTTGAACTTGCAGATATACAGAGATCACCCTTTTAAATTAAAAAAGAATGCTGTATCATAAATAGAGAATCTCCTACTCGTCTTTTTTATATCAAAAAATATTAACACAAGTCAATAATGTAAAAAAGAACGAGGCTTTGTCGACTTTGTTTTTAGGAGGGTTTTTTTGTTGTTTTTTTTTTTACTCTTTCGACGAGTGTTGATGTTTTTTGATATCAAAAAAGACGAGTAGATAATTTTATTAATCACCCATGCAGCCCTTTTTAACACGCAAAAATAAGTAGATATCTCTCAGTAGAATATGAAAGTTATCACACAAGCGATATTGTAGAATGACAATTAATATGGATCTTGTGCAATCCATGTAGCTAGGTCTCTAGCTACTAAGCATAACTCAAAATGAACACAAATTTAAATGGTGAAAATGCTGGAGGGGGGGGGGGGGTAATTTCATTTCTTTATCTAATATCAAGATACATGTTCTGAATTATTCCTGTTTACTTTTCTTTCTGGGGGGGGGGGGGTAAATTCATTTCTTTATCTAATATCAAGATACATGTTCTGAATTATTCCTGTTTACTTTTCTTCCTTTTCAATTCATTTCTTGTTATCCGACCGTCGGAACATCGGATTTACCGCACGTTTCCTTACCTGGGTGCAGGGGAGGCTACTCCAAATAATTTCATAGAGGGCAGCACTGAAAGCTTGTCTCGCAACCAGTCGATCATGTAAACAATGAAAGAAATCGAAATTCCGTATACCGACACTCCAGTATTCAAGATGATAACACTGTGAAAGATTTGGAAATTTCTATTTTGGAATATGTCAATTGTGCAGAAGTACTGTGTTGCGCCTGGTTTTAATCCTGGCCGGGTTTTGCCGGCCGTAAGTAATGAGTACTTTGCTGTACCAATGACTCGCACATCGATAGGTGTGTGGTCATTTGACAAGCTTGAACTACGCCATAAACCCCTTGAATTGCATGGGCACCGTAAATCTATAACTGCACTTGCGTTTGGCAACCGTTCAGCAGCAAATGTTCTGTGTTCCTGTGCAGGCGATTATGTTATAGTGTGGGACATAGAAGTGTCACAGCGGAATTTCGATGAGCGAAAGCAAATAAAAGGGGAGATAATCGGGACTTCGATTGGGGAAATTAACTATTGCGTCTTTAATGCAGACGACACTCTTGTGGCTGTGTGTGTCGATGTTAACGTGTATATCTTAAAATCAAACACACAAACTGTCCTTGCCGTATTAGACGGACATCTTAATCGTGTCACAGGCGCAGAATTCTGCCCACATTATTCTTCAACCATCGTCACAATTTCTGATGATCGAACTTTTAAAATATGGGATTTACACAGCCATTCTCTAGTTTATCAAAGTTGCGTTATTACCTCATCTGCACTGGTAAATATTTGTATGAACTGGGACGAACCCACATTTAGCGTTGGTTCAGCAGATGGCATTGTTAGAACGTATGATTTGACGGACGGTAACGATTTCCGAACTTTATTTCAACTCGATATTAACAGTATTAAAAGGAAGATAAGGGGAGCATCCTTTAAAAATCAAATTGCCGGCGTAAGGAATGGTTCAAAAACTATTAGCAGTCGGCAGACTTGGAAAAAATCGGATGGAATTATTCCAACCAACGATAACCCTGGTTTTATAGATAGATGTGAAGAATCAATTGTTGGGCTGTGCTATGCATATCCACAAGGACACCGCAAAGACGCGGAGGTTCCAAGCTTCTTGAGAAGTGCTGTGACTGAAATGTTAAATAAAACAGCTGCAGTTTTATTGGTGGCAACAACGTCAACCCTTCTCCAGATTGATCCCAAATCTCTAGAGACATTAGATTTTGTAGATCTCCAAATGGAAATTCCCAGTAAGGGAGACTTCGCATCAAGAGGTATCACACTGGATGCATTGGATTTTTCGTCCTTTAACTCTGGTCATAGTGTCTGGGCAGTTGTGGGAACTTTGTTGGAGAACAGACTCCATGTACTCGATTGGCCTCTAGTGACGTGTGCGAATTCTCCATCGGAGGAAGAGACGCTAAATATTGAATCAGCCATGGATCTTTTATCTCTTCACCCCGATTTGAATCCAAACAGGGAAAGAGTCTCCAGATCTTGTGAACTTTCTATGGTAGCAACCAACCCCCTTTGTGAGAACTCACCTTTATCGTCGAAACTGACGCCTATCTCCAAGGAAAAACAAAGGAGTTCTTCGGTTACCAGAAGAAACTCTATCCCAGCAGCTAAAAAATCTGATTCTATGAACCAGCCAATTACTTTCAAAAACAAAGTAAAATCCTCGGGATACTCAACACAGGCTCCCAAGGGAAAACTGTTTCAACCGCAAACATGCAAAACTAAGCAAATGACTCTTAAACGATCTCAATCCCATGAAGCTTCTCTTCAGCTAGAAGACTACCCCATGAACTGTGGGCAACCAAATGAACAGATTTCGACACGGTCGGTATGTGAGACTTCTGCTCCAATAACATCTTTACGTTTTTCCGGAAATGGACAAAATGTTGCAAGTGGGCTCGCGAACAAATTAGCAATTTCGTTTCCTCTGTCCACGAAGAAAATGGGGAGTACTTATCAGGGACACGACGCCGCTGTGAATTCCGTATATTGGAGTCGAGACAACAGTATGCTTGTCACGGCCTCCGATGATAAAACTGCCATCGTTTGGACTTGTAATCCCCGAGATCCGATCATGAAAATTTCAACGACATTGGACAATTTTAGTGATAGTGATTCTGCAACAAAAAAAACGAATCCATTGTTTCCCAAGGAGGTCAAACAATCACAGTTTTATTACATGGATAAATTCATTCTTCTCATCAGTGGTAATGGTTTTTACATGTACAAATATTATTTGGATACGTCGAAGCATGAAATAAGACGTTATCTAACTAAATCCAAGTACAAACTTGTGAAATCTTGGTTCTTGGACAGTCAATGCTTGACAGCTATGGCTGCTGTGAATTCTTTTTACTCCCATGTTGCTATTTGTGCAGGATCTAATCGTAGCTACGAAATATTTGACATGAATGAAGGACGATCTGTGTCGCTGATTACTGACGCTCATATTCGCCCGATCCACGCCATTGCTTTAAATGAAGGATCGACATATGTTTCACAGCCAGACGCCGCATATAATGTTTTTGCAACGGCTGCCGTTGCCGATTGCATCAAATTGTGGGATTTAAGAACAAACAAATGCGTTCAAAGGTTTGAAGGTCACGTGAACAAAGCTATACCATGTGGATTAGCAATAAGTCCCTGTGGACAATATTTAGCTTCGGGATCAGAAGACAAACTAACGTATGTATTTGATGTTAGGACGGGTACTTATTGCGATAGACTTGGCGGGCATTCAGATGTGGTGTCGACTGTTGCGTTTCATCCGGCCAAACCACTTTTGGCTTCGGGGAGTATTGATGGAAATGTTGTGCTATACAAACCGGAGAACTGGCATTCATGAACTAAATCACGTTACGTTGGAAGCTTTACAGGCGATGACTCCTGCCCACGACGTATATTACAAAAGTGTGTAATTTTGAAATATAATTTTCTTTCAGCACATTAATGGATCATTAATTTAAAAACAAATTCCTAATAAAATGGTAGAAACATAGTTTTGAATATATCTATTTCCCTTTTAACATGAGAGCCACGGTAGCTCGCTAACCTGGAGGCCCCGTGTTCCTTCCCAGTGTAGGCCGAAATTTTTCATCGGCATATTCCGGCGTGGTACTCCCTTGTCACTCATTGTCAGCGTATAGTCGTTCGGATTGGACCAAAAGCCAAGGTTCCGTTTACAAATTGGCATGCGGGTATCGTAACAGAACCTTGACAATTGGAATTAGAAATAAGGCCGTAGCACCTCTTTCCGTGAAAAATTTTCCTCATAGCACACTGCAGGCGTATGCCCGTCTTCATTAGCCCGACAGCGTATAGTCGTTCGGATTGGACCAAAAGCCAAGGTTCCGTTTACAAATTGACATGCACGTAACAGAACCTTGACAGTTGAAATTAAGAAATAAGGCCGTAGCACCTCTTTCCGTGGAAACTTTTCCTCATAGCTCACTGCAGGCGTATGCCCGTCATCATGAGCCCAGCCGGTGCAGACCTGTAGGACGTCCTCCCAGAATTTAAATACCGCCAGAATGTGCAACCCGAAACACGGCTGATTACGATGCCATGATTATATACTGTTTAGAATGTACTCTTGATCATGCTTAAAATATGTTTGTTAAAAATATACATGTACAGAATACTTCTAAAAAAACACGCAATGAATATTTGGTAAAACTGTTGTATGGTCAGGCCCTTTCGCAGACTCTATACCCAAACACAAAAACTCAAAATAAAGGTATAATTTGGAAGTTATTGGCCTATCATAGTTGTCAGTATCCTGGTTTCCAGTAACCTTTCAATTCATGTTCCAATATGGTGTCTGGAGTTTTGGTATATTTCAGCGTGTTTAACTCATGAGTCACGACAAGAATATTTCGACGCCCAATCTGTCCAACCTTCAATAACTTTTGGGATTCTACGAGTCCAGCACTTAGGATGGAACAGTCTAAAACCCGATGTCCAACCATGTATACACGGGTGGCCAGACATAATAACTTTTCAAAATTGGAATCCGAGTTCCCGGGACATATTTCTTTTTTGTACACTGTGGTCGAGATGGACAAAACAAAATGTACAACTGCCAAGCGTTGCCTGTCATCATATTTTAATGATTTATTACTTGGTTTTCCTGATTTATGTGTACCAATGTCGTTTATTCCCGTTTTATTTGAATTTTCCACCACGTGTGTGTGTGTACATGTATACGTGTGTGTGCGGTAAGTTAGCTAATGTTATACTTAAAATTAAGTACAATTCTTACATGTCAGTCGGTTTAGGAGCGGCATCTTTGCATGAAAAAATTATTTTGTTGATTTACTTCTTATTATCATTACAAATTGTATACGATCATATTACATCGAAATAAAGAATGAAATCTAGCAATTTTTTTATTATCATTTTATTATTAATGTATATAGCGCTGTCTTTGTCAAATGCTCTTTAAATATATGCAAGCAAACATAAACCAAATATTTGAATAATCAAATTAGTCAAATTAAAATGAATAATTTCCAAAAGATGTACAAGGAACATACAATGCAACATAGTAAGATGTAAATAAATATTACTTGGAATGGAAGCCTATGTACAAATATTTGGATTTTAATTTTTTTTCTTAAAAATGTAAGTTTAAAAGACTATAGTATTCCATAATTGTTAGGCGTGTGAACTAACAGACTTATTGCCTTATTTAGTTAAATAACATGGTACCATACCATTTATACACTTATACGTAAAATATAACTGATAAGAAAACTTACGTGTAACTAGTACGTATTAATTAAGATAGAACGAATTAGTCTCGGTCACCCAGAATCTGGGGGTCTTCAGCGTTCTTAGAATATTTGTCTGCATGATAGAGACTAAAGAAAAATGTGTTTGTTTTGGGAGCTAAATTCTGTATGTTATGTAGAATATATTAATCAACATTGTGGTAGATCAGCAAAACGAAACTTACAATTATCTAGGTGTGACGTCACGGGGAATTTATAAGTGTGTTTGTACTATATACTGATGTTTTTGGATTATGCGATTCCTAACCTAAGTATAGTAGTCAAATATTTCTTTGGTATTTACATCAAATGAAAGGGGTGAAATTGAAATTTTTCATAGACCAACGATTTTCAACAAGGTTTCCACAAATCTTACATATACATTCAGAAATATTCCCCTCTGTATTACAAGCAAAAAAGTTTTTTGATAACGAGAAATTAACTTTTATTAAAACCATGGAACTTAAAGATGGGTTCCCGCTTAAAAACTGGGTGATTTAATGCTATATATGGACTAAAAACATATTCAAACTAATTAATTTGTCATAACTTTGCTTCAAATCCTTCTCAAACATTGTAATTGCGAAGGAATGTCCTGCTATAAAAATTCGATCAAACCAGGTCATGTTTACGTCACGTGAATTACCTCTCTTGGATGTCAGAGGAGAATTCATTGCATACATAAGACGATGTTGTCTTTAATCGCTTACTATTTATTACAAATATCGAATCCTAATTAAATTCCCGGATTATCCACTACCCGCATCTTTTTCTGTCATTTTTATCTCAGAAGGTGTTGTACGTCTAACTCTTCATAAAGTTTATCAACTTGTACATCAAGCGCTCAATGTTCGCGTGTGGCCTTTGACATCACGCGTGCAGAAATTCCTAATCGTCGGGCTGTTGATTAGGGAAACCCTTGCATTTTTGTCCTGTATACGCTCCATGAGTGTTTTTCGGGGAATCCAGTATTTTTATAATAAGATGGGATATCTCTACTTTCCATATATACCAAAATTGCCATACTTTTATTGGAAATAACCACCCGATAAATACTTTTCTGGGAAGCCATCTTTAAAATACATATAATGTTAAAACCGGAAGTGATGTAATTTCGCGCTTGCAAAAACTATTTGGCGTGTATTATAGTTGGGATTATTTCTGAGTATATATTTAAGATTTATGGAAACCTTGTTAAAAATCGTTGGTCCTCCCCGTTAAAATCTTGAATTAGTACAGTGCTTGACTTTTAAAAAAAATATACGCGGAGTCTCAAGTTATTTTATGATAGCATTTAATTCCTTTGTTTGTATGATGACGTGATGTAGACCACCAATTACCTTCCTATTTAGAAAATACAGTAAAGTGAATTTTGTCCGCTTTAGTTTATGGACCCCCTTTGATTACATCCCGAAATTTTCACCTCAGCGAGACATTGCAACATGTTGCTCCTCCTGTGCTGGAGAACATTCAGTCGAACGAAAATTTCGGAAAAGTTGATGTCAGAGCCATATACAAACATAAAGAGGGACTAGCTCTGGTGGAAACTGTATACAGTAACAAGAATTAACATTAAAAAAGGCCAACTGGGAACATTTGGTGGTCTGCAACCAGACAGTGCGCTTTTTTTTAAAATTATCTCCCTTCTTTGATCTTTACTACCAAGAAACAACATTAATCAGTATTTCCGTCTACGTGCTTGATTTTGTTTTGTTATTGAAATTTGTTTGTAATGCTGACGTGTTGATAAGTTTTATGAATTATTTTTGAGTGAAAATTGAAGGAAAACTTTAAAATAAAATCATGGATCCAACACAGAATGCGGCACCACCTGAAAATGAAACGCCTGAGGTGGTTGTCAACATTTTTTCATCGTGTAAGTTAAAACTGATAAAAAATAAAAGTAAAAGTGTTTGTAGTTTGTATGTTTGTTTACAAATTACGGTCAGTGGTTAGGCGTTTTGCTAATAATAAGATAGAGAAAAAATGGGTTTAACCAGAGGAGTCTGACCTTCTATATACACCATGTCCAGCCAGACAATATATATAATAAAAAAGAACAGAAATGCAATGCCTGTTGTTAGGGTGACCCACCATAAATAAATATCTCCATATATCTCGAGAATTACGCCACAATATTTATATATATGCCAAGCCTCAAATCAGTTTCACACAATTATAGTCACTAAATAAACGATCATGTTGTACTTAATAAGCTATGACCATTAATCATGTATAAATAATAGACTGAAAACTGGTTCCAAGAGTCGTCTATAACATCCAGACACTTTTGAGTAGAAGATAGGTTACGTGCCCTTGTTTTGAAATTAGTCTCGCTTAACCAGTCTATCGACCATTCTACGTCTGATTGACAGATCGGGATAATCAAGACTACTTTTTTACGAAACATAACAGAAAGCTAGAACAAGAAATTGAATTTAGAAATAAGCACGTTAGGTAGCTCAACAATCGTTTTAAGACGCTTGTAAAAGTAAAATGAAACTACTGCTAGTATCATGTTCCTGCCTAACCCGAGTGATTCAGAGATACTATTTGTACTAAACCAAAAGATGCCGCTCTTAACGGTACAGTTAATGATAAAGCGATTTAAAAAATGAAACGAACGTAATTTCTAAATCTGCTGTAATAACCAAGAAGCTTAATTTTACTGCTATTCAAAATCGTCAACAATAATTTTTTTACGGCTGTAATAGTTGATAGATTTGTAGAGAATTGCACGTGCCATGGCTATTTATAGTATCATACTGTCAGAAAGTTGGTCTCGGCACGGCGAATGTGCACGCTTCAGTGGTAGTCTCGAACTATCAGCGGTGGACTGTATTTCTGTGTGTACATGGGTCACCCTACTGTTGTTGAGGGTGGTACTTTTTACCGCCGACCACCGCCGACCAATACTTTTACCGCCGACTGTCGTAAAATTACCGCCGACCAAATACTTTTTACTGCCGACCAAGCATATTAAAGACAATATATAATATTTCACTTTCAACATAAAGTGGGACTTATGCTAGTGATCCATCCCAAATTGTAGATAAGTTCTTTGGAACTGAAGGACTTGCGTGTGCAAACGACACGATAGACTTTGAAAGAAGAAAGCATGACATCTCAACCGTGTACGAAAAATACCCAGACCTACAAAAGTACCTTAAAACCGTGAAAGATAGAATAACAAAGTTCATTTATATACCTAAGAGAAAAGGTGACGAAGTCAAATTATGGACAAATAACAACGCGGAATCTGCAAACCATATTTTTAAATGTGCCATTGACTGGAAACCCCAAAAGGCTCCAGAATTAATCGAGAAGCTGTATATGTGTGTGAATTTTCAATTAATAAATTTAAGATCTACCCTGTATTTTTCTGGAGATTATGAACTTTGTGGTCGCTATAAAGCATATTCTGTTTCTGAACAAAAGTGGCGCTGTTTCAGCGAAGAGCAAAAAGAAAAATGTTTTGCAAATTTTCTTAAAGACTCGAAAAGGAAGCGCGACAAAGAAGAAATTATTTGTTCAACAAACAAAAAATTTTGTGTAGTAAAGAAAGCAAAATTACCAACCCAAAAACCCCATCAAACCAAAAGGTGTAGAAGTGTTCGCACTAATAGAAGATAGGCCTAAAATGTTATACATTTATAACCAGTAGCTGAAACAATCTTGATATATTTGCCCTTCAATATCTAAATTGTAGTTTTGTCCTTCCATATTCTTTAATATAAATATGAATGTTTTTCGACAGTTGTACGTGATTACACCTCAAATAAAAAAATAACATTTTTATAAAAAAAACAAACAACCGTAAAATAGTCGGCGGTAACAAGGAATCATTAAGCATTTGGTTGGCGGTAACAAGTATTTGGTCGGCGGTAATTATATTACGGTCGAAAGTCATTACAATGCGGTCGGCGGTAAAAAATATTTGGTCGGCGGTAATTACACGACGGTCGGCGGTAAAAAGTACCACCGTGTTGTTGATGACTCGATTTTACCTGCTCTCGCTTCGGCTCGGGTTTTTTTTTCAACAGTTCGTAATGTTAGGCAATCAAACCTCTGTCGATTCACTCAGATATGTTTTTTCTTCAATCTAGTTGTTTTGATTTGCATAAGTACTCCCACAAAACGATATCATAGCCACTTGTTTCCAATATTTACATTACTTTCGTCCATTTCCATTTTGTCACTGCCGCCATGCCCAGACGTCACCCAAAAACCTAACCAACCTCTGAAGTCTTGTATACTTCTGCCTCAAAATGATGAATATTCACCAAAACCTGGCAGAAAATGTATATGCAAACCCTCTTCTTCGATTCTACACCCAATTGTCAACAAAAATCGCCATGCAGAAGGGGGAAAATGGAAAGGGAGAGAAAAACTAAAAATATCTTTGGCACTTGTTTGAATGGTCTAGTCACTGCGGATTGATTTTGTGTGACGTCAGCGACAGAGGTTTGATTGCCTGACATTACGAATTGTTGAAAAAAAACGAGCCGAAGCGAGAGCAGGTAAAATCGAGTCTTCAACAGGCATTGCATTCCTGTTCTTTTTTTATTATATATTGTCTGGTTGGACATGGTGTATATATACGGATAGAAGGTCAGATTCCTGTGGTTTAACGTACACCCGACACATACTAGGTCATTAGGGGACAGGCTCCTACTTCTTGTCACTTATTGTCACGTACATGCTGGGAATCAAAACCACACAACTCTTCCACTCAATGATCATGACTATATCATGACATGTCACAAAGACTCAGAGCACATGTTAATTAGCCCATTCAATCCGCAAATATATGCGATAAGGATTTTGCTATCCAAGAAAGCTGACCTTTTTTGATTCCGTAAGAGTTTTGTTAGTGACTCAATGAGAGAGAGAAAAATTGAGTTTAACGACCACCCGACACAAACTAGATTATTAGGGACAGGCGGCCCTACATGCTGCGAATCGAATCCACACAACTCTGTTCAATGACAAAGAGCACACGTTAGCCCATTCCATTTCCAAATGGATTCAATTAGGATTTTGCTAGTCCGGGAAAGCAGATCTTTTTCGGTTCTGTTAGAGTTTTGTGACTAAGGTCAGCCTGCCCATGGGTAGAAGCTTTTGGTAATCGTCTGTTTCGCACCATGGCTGATTCTTTCATTCCGACAAGGCTGATTCGTACCATGACAAGGCCGATTCGGACCATTATTTGAATGACGCCAGTATTTAAAATACCAGTATGTTTGCATATATTTAATAATATGACAAGAATGACAATAAAAATAGTGAAATTACTAATTAATTATTTAAATAACAATGAGCTAAATCATGGAAAATGTGCTTCACATTCTTGGCTGATTAGGACCAGATTCAGACTTTAGACCCTATTTTATGATAAGGGGATATTTCATGAAATTAAAAATACATTTATGTTTTGCTGACATCGTCATCCTGGAACAATAATTCAGTTTGCTAAAGATCCCATCCTTTTCAATAATATTCAAGTTTTGGTATTTGTCAGTTCATTTTAAAAAGATTCTACCACTGAAGTTTTACTGTGTTGAGTCACAACCATAGACTAATGTTCTGAAATCATATTTCTCTATAATTACAGAGGGGGGGGGGGGGTGTTTGAACACAAATCACAAATGAGTCAGTCGACCTAAAGTCTTTTACTCTCTCCTGGTCAACTTCTGTCATAAGTCCCAAAGTAAGACTAATAGGTTTAAACTATAAATTTATTGAAATCTGGGACCTGTGAATGGAATTTAGCTCATCTTGAATTAAGTACATAAATGCTTTTGATCTAGGTTAAATAAATAGGTAGTCTAAGCTTCTAAAAAACAGATACGGTAAAATTTATGAGTTATAAATTAGTAATTATTTATACATGTACATGTAAATACAGAATATGAATTTACGTACATGTAATTGCTTTTTGGTGGATTCAGAAAACATTGCCATATCTCAGTTCTAATCATCAGAGGTTTTCAAGTGCAGTTAGTTGAAAATATGACATTTCAGCCACAGAGTTACTTTTTTTTTTTTATCTCTAACCATATTCGGTTAGCACATACATGTATGACCAGTAGCACCTATTTAACCTATGGGGTCGAAAAATCAGCCTAACATGCAATTGATGTTGAAACATTTGTCAATGTGTTTGGTATGTTGTGTCATAAATTAGTGACTATAGAAGAGATAAGAAATCTATTTTTATAATGAGTTTTCTTTTACATGTATCATCATCAGTATTAGAGATAATACAGGGTTATGGCTGGTTTTTACTGATTGGTGGTGTAGTAGCAATATATCTTAAACAGAAATTGAATCCTACTTTAGAACGGATGGCTAAACAGAGAGAGGATAGAAGTGAATATAAGAAGTATGGTATGTAAAAATAGTTTCCCCCCTTGTCTTTCAATCAAGCAATACATAATTACGTTTTTATGGTATATTATGTTGCATAAAATTAACATGCAAATAATCCAAAACATGGTAACAGTACTTGATTTTTAGATCAAATCAGACAAAACTAGTTCTTATGAATTCTTAAGGAGGCAACTTGACATAGTCATATGGTTGATTTATACCACTCTACACTGCCAGATCAAGCCATTTATTTATTTTTTGTACATAGCTGCATTTACTTGGCAAATGAAACAAACCTCACTTGCAATTTAGCTACCATCAAATGGCTTATAAATGTATCATGGAAGACCTCTATTGCAGTATATCAATAGTTTCTAATGGCCATATTTGGATTACTATATATATAACTAAAAAACACAGTTATGTCCATATTTTTATTAAAATCTACTGCACTGAGGCTTTAATTGTGTTAGGTCTTAATCTCAGGACGATTTTGGCTCTGTTGAAATACTTTAAGATGTAAAAACAGCACAGAATTCTACAATACATAATTATTATTGTATTATTATTTCATCTCATAGATAGTGACACAGCTCAGAAAAGATTAGAAGCAATGGAGAAAGCGAGGCAAAAGTTACAAAGTCAGTTTGATGAACAAGCATCTAAATTTGCAGAAGAACAAAAAGCTGTAAGTAAGATTTTTAAAAACTAGGTGATCTACCTGCAGTCTTTGATAAATTCTGATTAACGTTGGAATCTCCTAATATTTCTATCCTTCTAACATCTACAATATTTTTATTTCTGGGAAAAAACTTGTTTTGGTGTACTCATAAATGATTGTGTTTATAAACAGACACATTTATAAATGTTGACATATTAATTAGCTGTCAACTCTGTTGGTTGTCTGTCAACAGATTTCCTATGCAAACCCTACATTTCCTTTTAACAAATTTGCAAGGGTGCTTTGTTTTCCTCATAATGTAAAACTCAATCAAATTTCAAAATTGGAAACAGGAAAAGGGTACGGCAACACTCCCTTAGAGAGTAATTCTTTGATCACAAATTCCAGAGTTGTCTCCCCCATTTGAACTCCTGAAATCTTGTGTACTTGATACAGGGCCAAGTTCTTGATATAATTTTTAAACATGGTGAGATTTTTGGATATTAAATTTTGAATATACTAAGCAGCAAAAGAAACGTCCGGTTGGTATGTTACTCTGAATAGACGCATTGCATAAAACTTGCCAAATGTTTTTATTGTATATTTGTGACCACATCTCCAACTTTACCTGAGCAATAAGGCTCCTTCCCAAACACAGAATTGAACCCAGGAAATGTTCTCAAAAATGCAACCGGACTTCTGAGATGGTAATGTGTTCTCCATGATTTTTATATAACTCATGCTGCACGTGCTCTTCACCGGGACCAGCTCTATGAAATGCACCCCCATACCTGGTTGAATCATTCACACTACAACGTCAGCAGCATGCCACGACTCACGACAGCTCAGAGGAACCAGGCGCTTGGAAAACTCGACGCTGGCCACACTGCCCAAGCCGTTGCCAATCACTTCCAGGTCAATGTTCGGACAATCTACAGGCTTCAGCAATGCTTTCAGGCCACCAACACCATGAATTATTGCCCCTGATCTGGTAGACCAAGGGTTACCACAAGGCGAAAAAACCGCCATGTTGTGCGACAGCACATGCAGAATCCCTTCACACAGGCATCTGAGACAGCACGTCAGACAGTGGGAACAAACAGGAGACCCATCAGTACCAATACAGTGCACCAAGGTCTCACCAGAGAGAACTTCCATTGCCATAGACCTTACCGTGGACCAATCCTCGCCATCGACGTGAACCTCTACAGTTTGTCCATCAACACCAGAATTGGCGACACAGGCAATAGAGAACTGTTCTGTTCACAGATGAGTTGGTATTGCGTATCAACTGCAGATGGCAGGACCAGAATATGTCATGGAACGAGACTCATGGGGAGGTCCAAGCATAATGGTTTGGGGTGGAATCAGCCTGAACCAGAGAGTGGGTCCTGTGGTGTTCCAAAATCTTGGTCCAGGGAGAAGAGTGCACTACATCGAAAAAGCTCTCAGACCCCCACGTCATACCACATTTCGCACGTCATCGAAACAATGTTTTCCAGCATGACAATGCCTGTGCCCACACCGCCAGAGTTACTCGGGACTTTCTACAGCAGAACGGTGTCGACGTTATGCACTGACCAGCCCTCAGTCCTGACATAAACCCGATTGAACATCTTTGTTATGAAATTCAGAGGAGACTTAATAACGCTGTACCGAGACCAAACAGAGCCGATGGATAACATACAAATAATGGTGTGCTTATATTGTGATTTTAGCAGATAAGCACACATGAATCTTCAACCTATCAGAATGCTCCAGGATATATTATTGTCGCTTGACTGTTACATACATCATAAAATGAAATGGGGTTTAACGTCTCACTGTTCTTCTCCGGCTGGGCTAATGAATTAGAGATATTGTGCCCAGAGAGAGGCCCTACAGTCTATTTTTATAGCAAATTCCAACTGCCAAGGAATCTTTTACATGCACGCCAATGTGTACACAGGACCTCAGTTTTTATTTCTATATTTATTTTTAATAGAAAGAGGAGGCCAAAAGACAGGCAAAAATAGAAGATTGGGATAGACATCAAGAAGGCAAAGGTTACAGGTCAAAATTCAAGGTAAGTTTTCCATGGAACTTTTCTCAGGTGAATATTGTGAATTTGTTCATCTTCCAAATGCCAAATTCTACATTTACAGATATGTTCTGTATAATTATAAACCAGTAACATTATTTTTATTATGTCTACCTTGTATATCATAATTTTTTTTAATTTTCACTGTTAGAAAATAAACAACCCAATTGATTATTGATGTAAAATAAATGATTAATTTTTGATCATTGGTCAGGAAATTAAATACTTGTAAATTGGACACTCATTCTCAAAATTAATCAGTGAGTCTTAAACTGGACACAAGTACAAATTAGATGATTTTGGGTGATTTTAAATGATTTTTACGAATTTTTAAACAAAGTTTTGATATTAAACTAATATGAAAGAAATAAGTGCTAAATACACAAGATTACATGATACAGGAGTTACAGTGTAAGCATGTGCCTATATTTGATAAAGAATCGCGGGCAACATAAACTAATGTATGATGTAGTGTACATCTGTATTTAAAAACAACAAATGGTGGATGAGTCAAAACAAGATATCTGATATTCAAATACCTGTTACTGGCCAGTTATTGAATTTATGACAATCAAAATTATTTTCTTAGTAGTTTCTATGAAATGATGTACGTTTCCTTGTCAGGCCTTCCATAATGTACTACTGACGAGGGATAATCAAACTAGAAAATAGTAGTTTACATTTAACAAATAATAGTGTAATTACTTTTCTAATTCTGTAAGGCAGTATATCTTTAATCTTATAATTGTACTTTCCTGTATTGTTTGTTCAGTTGTGTTTTTATTGACAGTTATCCCGCATTGTCTAATTTGTCTTCGGGGGTGGTGGCTGTTGATCAAAAGATCGATTATTTTATCGACTGCAGGATTGGGGCATGTCTATATACATGTATATATAGTGACAAACAGCAGTTTACTAGGTGGCTGTTGATCAAAAAAGATCTAATTATCTGTCAAGGGCCAGGTGTTAGATTACTTGCTTGTACATCATAACAAGGGTTTGTCGCCTTTCTAATCTTGTAGGTTTTTGGGGGGTTTTTCAGTTTACTCCCACTGCTAAAGATCCCTGAGTACAAAGCAAATTAATTATGTGAAGAAATGACGAATCACAGTCCCAAAATGACTTATTTTATGTTGGGTGGATGCTTAACCCTATTTCCCCTCGGTTTCTCTCTCTATCTGCAGGACAGAGGGCCTGACAAGGACAGCTGTCTAGTCGTTTGGATGGGACAAAAAAGCGAGGTCCTGTGGCGTGCATGTAAAAGATCCCTTGACAGTTGGAATTCGATATAAGAGTAGGCCGTAGTGCCGCTGCCTGGGCAAAATTTCCCTCATAGCACACTGTATGGCGTATGCCGTATGCCCGTCTTCATTAGCCCAGTTTAGGAGCAGATCAGTAGGATGTTAAACCCCATTTCATTTCATTTTGTCGCCTTTCTAATCTTGTGGGTTTTTTTTATGGGTTTTTCAGTTTACTCCCACTGCTAAAGATCCCTGAGTACAAGCAAATTACTTACGTAAAAAAATGATGTATCATAGTCCCAAAATGACTTATTTTATGTTGGGTAGATGCTTAACCCTATTTCCCCTCGGTTTCTCTCTCTATCTCCTCGTAGTTATAAAACGCCAAAATAATAAGACAATCAAAAAATGTATTTTTTTATCAGTTGTCTCCGAGTAGAAGAAAGACTACAGACAGGCTTATATATAACAGAAGATATATTTATGACAATATTAATGTATCCAAGGCAGTTGAAGACTCTTTATAAAAATTTATGTTCCAATGAAAGTTTAAAACAATGTCTTTAAAATGTTCAGATAATCTCATGATAACAATTATTTTTTTTAAGAAATTAAAGTCAACATTTATTTTCTTTTTTTTATCATGTATTGCTTTCATTAAACAAACACTCATATTTATAAAACTGGAGACAGTTTATTTTTTGCCGTATCTTAAAAGATTATTCATGCCATCACGACCTCCAGCATCTTCCATAGCTTCATCTCGGGGAACGGCCATATATCCATGAGCTGGCATCCAGATCCAATAACCGTCTCCGGCCCGTTTATTTTCAGCTTGTCGATTGAAAAATGTTGAAAATCTTTTCTGGTAAATATTTGGTGGAGGAATTATAGGCATTTGACTTGAGCGCTTTGCAAGAATGTAAGCCAATTGTCCTCCATTTTCATGAGCACCCACTTCCGCATTGTCTGTTGGGTCTGGAGCAGAAAATGCAAAACCAAGAATGCATATGAAAAGAGTAAGGAGAATATTCTGATATGCTGTAGAGGAACTCATCCTGAAAATAGATAAGATCAAAGTGGTTAGTTTAAATAGTGTTGCTATGGATCGGTTGAGGCATACAATAATATAGGAGGCAGACCACCATTAAATTTCATCATCTCGGTACCCACGAATTGTAGTTCGTCTATTTATAGCAATTCTCTCTCTCTCTCTTTTCTCCCCTTTTGCATGCCCATTTGTGTTGATTTTTTGGTCTAGAATGGACGAAGAGGGTTTGAATTAACATTTTCTGCCAGGTTTTGGTAAATATTCATGATTTTGAGGCGGAAGGATAAGAGGGTTATCAGGTTAGCTACGGCGATATGTACGGCAACTAGTTACATGTTTTTAGTATGCTTCTTCAAGTTTGTGTATCTCAAAATTTTGGTGGTCAACCTCATACAAATTTTAGTACAAAGACATGACCATTTGTTCCTCTGTCTGTAGTGAAAAGCATTCAGCCCAACGAAAATTGGGGGAAAAGTTGGAGGTGGGCAAAGAGGCCAGAATTAACATTGAAGTCAATGGGGAAATTAATGGTGGTCTGCCTCCATACAATAATTAGAGTTACTTCCCCTTGGACTAGACAATCACCATTCAAGTGTCTGATGGAAATTCAAATATTTAAAATGGCAACAATGCTTTTATCTGGGTAAAAAATGAAATTGACAGTTTCATTGGAGTTTATATGAAGATTTGCTTTATGGGCTGTCATCTGTATGTAAAAACAGGGTTGAGATATAAACATTTGTGGTTTCGTGTCGACAAATTAAAAAAAGCCGAAAATGACACTATAATTCTGTTTAATCTATCAAAGTTAAAAATTAGAACTTGTTCCATCACAAACTGAAATAAGGCATCCAATTAAAGATACATTTATGGAACATTAGATAAAGATCTGACAGTTGTCACTGTAATAGTTAAAAACTAGATGGTGTAATGGGAATATGCTGAAAATGTCAGTCAAATTGCTTCACTCTATTTTTAAATCACTGTTGCCTTGTTTGTCATTGTTACCGCTGTCACGATAATTAATAAAGTCTAGATAACCCATTTTTGTGTTTAATCATCAACGGACATTGTATTCAGCAGATTGTATTTAAATCCAATGAAAATTGGACACATAAGATGGTATCAAGAGTTGATTATGATCTGAATAAGTTAATTAATGTCTAATTAATAGTTAATATAACATTTCAGACCTAAAGAACGACCTGCAATAGGCAGATTTACTTCTTACATAATGCATGTTTAACCCAATTTCATTCTTTATTGAGATCTGAATAAAAGAGACATGTAAATAAAGAAAGTGGGGATCCATCAGTACAGGACTAAATCTGGGATGGCTACTCGCCACTAAATAAAACAACTTTGACTCCATTAACTTAATTACAATTAGATTATACTTTAAAAAAAAGCAAATGAGGCATTCAAGTTGTATAGTCGTTCAGATGGGACAAAAAAACAGGTCCTGTGTACACACTTGCTTGCACGTAAAATATCCCTTAGGCAGTTGAAATTCAATATAAGAGTAGGACATAGTGCCACTGTCCGGGTAAAATTTCCCTCATAGCCCGTCTTCATTAGTCTATTAGGAGTAAAACAGTAGGATGTTACACCCCATTTCATTTTGTAATGAGAGTTTTGCCTGTTTTACAGTATTTAACAGTATATTCTTTTGATAATTTTTTGAATAACTTTACATGTATCATTCCAAAGTTAGTAGAAAATACTTTTTATAGCTGTATGGATTAATGAGATAGCATTTAGAACCTACACCATCCAGGCTATATTGTGCGCTGTAATTGGCGTAAACTCCATAATTAGGTCTTGTGTGGTAATGATTGAATTATGTACGTGTCAATGGTTTTAAATTGATGAACATTAATACAATACAGATGACAAGGCGAGCAATATAATTCGGATCTGTAAGAAGCTGGAAATCAGAATTGCAAGTAAAAGTTCTAACAAAATTTCAAAAATTTATTTGATATCAGTGATCTTTGGTTAAACCTTAACTTTCCTTGCATGTACATGTATGTTCAATTAAAGATACATTATGGAAGATTAGATAAAGAGCTGGCAGTTCTCGCTATAATAGTTAAAAATTTGATGTAAAGGCAATATGCTGAAAATTTCGGTCAAATTGCTTCACTCTAAGCCGAGAAAACATTTTTTTAAATTACTGTAGTCTCGATTTTCATTGTTACCGCTGTCACAATAATTAACAAAGTCTTGATTATCCAGTTTTGCGTTTTAATCATCAATGAGCGTTGTTTAACAGATCGGATTCAAATCCAATGAAAAGCGGAAATGGTCTTTTCATGTTAATAAATGTCTAACTGATAGTTTATATAACATTTCAGGCGTAAAGAAGGACTTGCAATAGGCAGATTTAGCTCTTGCATAATCTATATTTAATAAATTCCCTGATATTTTAATAAAAAATTAAGTTTAAATCTCAAATAAACATTTTGGAATTCTCAATGATAGCATTCAAGATTGAGAATTGCTGAAGGATTCTGATATTTCAAACTTTTAGGTAGTATTATCAACCTTAAAACCCACTCTGAAAATATAATGGATGCATATGGTCATAACGTTATTTCTTTTTTTTTTCATCAAATATCGCACTGTCCAAAAAATTTCTCATATTGTCAAATATTACAAATAATCCTGTAAATTCATCTGGGAGAGTACTATACCTAATTGTGCATTAAATCAAAATATAGTCCTTAGCAATGTTCGTCTGTATTAACTTTCTAAAATAATGACATTTTAAGGTCTGTCTGGACAACAGTTACTACGAATAATTGGTGTTGCCTGATATAGCCCATTATTGTATTAGATCTTTTTTGAATTATTTAACAGGAATTTATGTGCTATTTCCGAACATTCCAGGGTAATTTAGAAGAAAATGGACAAAAAATGTTTGTTGTCAAAGAAATTATACATTGTGACCAGTACATATGTTGCGACTTGACATCTATAATTACTGTCATTAGAATTGTAGTAGTTGCTTGTGATATCAGGAAAACGGAAAATTCATTTCTATTGATTTTCTCATCTAATTTTATAACGATGAGGAATGAAACAAGAAACCCAGCGTGGAACCTCTAGCCAGTTGTTGGCTTGTTTAAATTATGAATTTATTTTATCAAATAATGACGCTTGTGTAGTCATATTTCAGATCTCTGCATGTCTTTGACATGTTTTTCCGGGAAAACTTGTGTAGCTCTTAAAAGGGGCTAAAAAAAAGATGAAGAAACGGAAAAGAGTCTTTTGTTTTTTCTCCTTCCAAATTGAATGACATGGTCAAGTAGCATCTTAGTTTTATCATAAAGAAACAGAAAATAGTCTTTTGTGTTTATTCACTGAAAATTAAACGACATACAATAGAATCTGCATTAAGCAGCCACCCAAGGGAATTTTCACAACTGACCGCTTAACGGGATAGACCTCTTAATAAAATCTTGGTGCTTTTTGTGCTGACATAAATTAAATATTATGCTTGAATGCATTGGAAGCGGTAAATTTGACCGTCGCTGAATCTTGCGCCGAACGAAATTTTTTTACTCAAATCTCGGACATAACTTCTGTAAACTTGTCATTTTGGACCAACCTTCGATACTACTGTCTACCATTGTGATGCATTCGATAATATTTATCCATTTTTGTGAAGAAAATCGATTAATTAATTTTATTTTATCAAAAAAGCACATGAACAAAAAAAACATCGCTGTGTTTATCACCTATTTACAGGGGATGTAACTCTGTATGTAATATTATACGGGGCGCTAAAACGTCTGTTTAACAATAAAGTGACAATGGAAAAGAGATAACTAGATGATCGTGACAAAACTCGGTACTTTTATTTTATTCAATCAGTATCAAATAATGTGTCGTTACATTGACCAGGTTAGTCGTTTAATAAAACAAAAGATTAATAAACAGATAATCCCGGGTTGATTGTTATTTTTACATTTCTTTTTACCTGATCAGTGGGGGGCCAGTTAATTAACTACTACTCACGGGATTAGCGGGGGTGTTACAAAGAACGACAAGATGGTATCATTCAACAATGGCCGTTGAATGGGCGATGTTTTGTTGAATTTATTAGTAAAATAGTGACCGCTGGCCGCATTAGAGGAGTGACCGTTGACTAAAGAGATGAAACAACAGAATTTCTACGGGGGGAATTTATCGTGAACACTTACAAGGAGATGTCGCTGAATAGGAGTGGCTGCTCATACAGATTCTACTGTACTCAAGTAGCATCTTATTAGTTTTATCATGATCAGCCAATTTTGTAGTGATTTTCAAACACTTCCAACAAATGCATGCAGAATATGTTGCATTATTTAAATGTGTGTTAATGGTTATATTAAATATGGTTTTAATTGATATTATTACATTTATTTTATTGGTAAAAGTAATAATTTGTCTTCATATTAACATTTTACCCATGCTTTTCTACAAGTACATTCTTTCAATAATGTGGTGTAGAAAAGTAGGACTTTAAACCCCATTTCATTTCTTTAAATAATTTCCATGTTTATTAACCTAGAATTCTAAGAATTGATATGGATTAAATGTTACGTGCATGCATCCAGAATTGCCGTCAGAAATAAAAGATAAAAAATCACTTGTACAATTAAAACCCCAAACTGTTTGATTCTTTCTTTAAAAAGGAACTTATCGTACGTGATAGAATGGAAAATCATCGATATCTATCTGGTCAACATTCGGACCGATCTAAAGCTTTTTCAGATTAATATTGCTCCAGGCATTTGGAACTCTACTCATTTGTTTAAAAAGACTCTTTAATTATGAAGAGCATTGATAATAATATCAAACACTCGCAGTCGTCATATTGTTATCGTCACTTTAGCTGCTAGGAATTTCCATCCGTGCATTAATTTTTATCAGGATTGAGAAAAGCCTTTGTGTATATTGCTATAGGGAGACAGGATTATTCTGCTTTGATATCCTGTTGTCGTGTGTAAATGGGGTTGT